CGCATTTTTAAGCACACTGTACCCATTTAGAGGTTTTCTCCTTCTGAATCTGTCTTTACCATGCATCTGTAATCCTCTTCTGACCATGTGAGTCTTTAAATTGCCAAGGGGGCGTGGCTAGGACCAAAGCCTGCTTTGGTGACTGGCCCTGCCCCATTAGACTTCCTAAGAGACTGTTTCATGGCAGAGATACCAGCGAGAGTCATGCTTACTGCCTCAACTCTGGGAAGCTGTTGGGGCCATGCCACCAGTGCAAACCAGGAAGCCTCATCTTAAAGGAGCCATGTCTCTGATTACCACTAGCAAAAAGAACCTGCCCAAGAAAATGTTGCTACCAAGAAGCTGTGCTTGCCTCTGTTCTTTTGTGTGTTTAGAATCCTTTGTTGTTGTGTTGTTTTGCTTTTTTGTTTGTTTGGGTTTTTTTTGTTGTTGTTGTTCTTTTTGGGTTTTTTGTTTTTTAAAGCTTTTTCCGGGGCTTATATGAGGAAATTTTCACTGAGTGTTTTGGTGCCATATGTAACCAGTAGCAGAACTTTCTGTCCCATTTGCCCAATTATACCTGGCAGTTGCTTCCCAAATTACCACTCGGAGGCTTATATTAATTATAAATGCTGGCCAATGGTTTAGGCTTATTACTAGCTAGCTCTTACATTTAAATTAACCCATTTCTATTATTTTATGCTTCACCATGTGACCCATGGCTTATCGGGTCTTTCACGTTTTGCTTCTTGGGCAGATCACAGCATCTGTCCAGACTCTTTGCTTCTTCCTTTCTTCATCTTCGTCTTCAGTTTGATTGTATAGCCTACCTTATTCTGTCTCGCCATTGGCCAGATAGCTTTATTATCAACCAATGACAGCAGCACATATTCACAGCATACAGAAGGATATCCTATAGCAACAGTGGGTCTTGTTTTGTAAATTTGTTTGGGGGTGTTTTTGAGGCAAGTTCTCGTTAGAGCTGGGGGTGTAGTGCAGTGGTAGAGCACTTGCCTTGTATTTGCAAAGCTCCGGGCTCGACTGAGTTAATATCTGCCTTATATAGTCCAGGTTGGCCTTAAATTTGCAATATTCCTACTTTGACCTATGGTGGGTTTTTTTTGTTGTTGTTCATTTGCTTTCTTGCATTTTTGTTGTGAAACAATTTATTTTTATTATGTATATGCATTTGTATCTGTGTGTGGGTTTGTGTACATGCATACAGGTGTCCTTGGAGGCCAGAGGTGTCAGATCCCCAGGTAATTGTAAGCCACCCACCATAGGTGCTGGGAACCAAACTCAGGTCCTCCATAAGAGCTCTTTAACTGATGTGCCATCTTTCCAACCTGCTTTTGTTTACCTGCTTGCTTGTTTGTTTTGAGACAATGTCTCACAATGTAACTCAGGCTAGCCTGGAACTCCTGGCAGTCCTACTTCAGCCTTCCTAGTGCTGGGATTACAAACAGGAATGCCATACTTGGCTCTAGTCTATTTAACTGTTATCCCATACTATTATATGCTAAATACATAATATTGTCTTAGTCATTTGTTATTTGTTCCTGTGAAGAGGCACCCTCACCAAGGCAACTCTTTAAAGGAAAGCTTCCCCCCCCCCCCAGACAGGGTTTCTCTGTAGCTTTGGAGCCTGTCCTGGAACTAGCTCTTGTAGACCAGGCTGGGCTTGAACTCAGAGATCTGCCTGCCTCTGCCTCCCAAGTGCTGGGATTAAAGGTGTCACCACCACCGCCCGGCAAAGGAAGGTATTTAAATGGTCGCTTGCTTATAGTTTCAGCAGTTTACTCCATTATCATCATGGTGGGGAACATGGCATCATGATGCTGGAGAAATGCTTCAGAGCTATATCTTGATCCATAGGCAGAGAGATAGACAGACAGACAGACAGACAGACAGACAGACAGACAGACAGACAGACAGACATTGGGCATAGCATGGGCTTTTAAAAACTCAAAGCCAGTTTGTTCATGGCAGGTGGCTTACAATGATCTGTAACTCTAACTCCAGGAAATCTGACCCTCTTTTGGCTTTGGTGGACACACAGTCATATAATAAAAACAAATCTTTTAAAACATTAATTTAAAAATGACTCCCAGGGGGCTGGAGAGATGGCTCAGAGGTTAAGAGCATTGCCTGCTCTACCAAAGGTCCTGAGTTCAATTCCCAGCAACCATATGGTGGCTCACAACCATCTGTAATGGGGTCTGGTGCCCTCTTCTGGCCTGCAGGCATACACACAGACAGAATATTGCATACATAATAAAATAAATATTTTTTAAAAAAATGACTCCCAGTCATGTGGCAATGGTACACACCTTTAATCCCAGCACTTGGGAGGCAGGTAGCTCTCTGTGAGTTCAAGGCCAGACTGATCTATATAGTGAGATCCAGGACAGCCAGGGCTACACAGAGAAACCCTGCCTCAGAACCAAAATAAATAAAACAAACAGACAAATAAATTAATAACCCAAAAGAGGTAAAGGGGTCCAAATAGTATGCACCCTGAATACAGACAGGATCCAACCATAAGCCTGGACCTTAGGCAGGCTATTTCCTTTCCCTTTGGAAGATGCCTCTGGTTTCCAGATTTTTGGTGGCTTGAGACAAAGTCTGCCTTGGCCTCCAACTGCAGGTGTTTACCACCACACCTGGCTATTGCTTTTTGAGTCAGGGTCTCATATAATCCAGGCTGGCCTGGAACTCACAATACAGCCCAGGCTAAACTCACATTTGACCACCCTCCTACCTCCTGAGTGCTGAGACTGCAGGTGTGTACTATGACGCCCAGCTTCCTTCCTTATCTATTGGTCTTACAAGTGGCTGGAATGATTGTCACTATGGTTTCCTATTGCTCATTTTATTGAATCAACAAACATCCTTCTAAATTGTAATGGAGGTTTTTGCATTTTTTCTAAATTTATGATTGTTTTGGTTTTCTATAATTTGGGAAATTACCACTGAGATGGTGCTCTGAATGAGAATGGCCCCCAAAAGGCTCATATATTTGAATGCTTGGTCACAAACGGAGTAGCTGGCACTATTTGAAAGGATTAGAAGGATTGAGGGTGTGCCCTTATTTGAGTAGGTATGGCATTATTAAAGGAAATGTTAACACTGGGGTGGGGTTTGTGTTTTCTTTTTTTGTTGTTTTTCGAGACAAAATTTCTCTGTGTAGCCCTGGTTGTTCTGGAACTCACTTTGTAGACCAGTCTGGCCTTGAACTCACAGAGAGCTACCTGCCTCTGCCTCCCAAGTGCTGGGATTAAAGGTGTGTACCATTGCCACATGACTGGGAGTCATTTTTAAATTAATGTTTTAAAAGATTTGTTTATAACTGTGTGTCCACCAAAGCCAGAAGAGGGTCAGATTTCCTGGAGTTAGAGTTACAAATCATTGTAAGCCACCTGCCATGAATGCTGGCAACCAGACTTCCTTCCTTCCTTCCTTCCTTCCTTCCTTCCTTCCTTCCTTCCTTCCTTCCTTCCTTCCTTTCTTATTCATTTTTATTGAGCTCTACATTTTTCTCTGCTCCCCTCCCCTTCAGCCCTCTCCCATGGTCCCCATGCTCCCAATTTACTCAGGAGATCTTGTCTTTTTCTATTTCCCGTGTAGATTAGATCTATGCATGTCTCTCTTAAGGTCCTCATTGTTGTCTAGGTCCTCTGGGATTGTGATTTGTAGGCTGATTTTCTTTGCTTTATGTTTAAAAACCATTTATGAGTGAGTACATGTGATAATTGTCTTTCTGGGTCTGGGTTCCCTCATTCAGAATGATGTTTTCTAGCTCCATCCATTTGCCTGCAAATTTCAAGATGTCATTCTTTTCAGCTGTGTAGTACTCCGTTGTGTAAATGTACCACATTTTCTTTATTCATTCTTTGGTCGAGGGGTACTTAGGTTGTTTCCAGGTTCTAGCTATGATAAACAGTGCTGCTATTAACATAGTTGAGCAAATGTTCTTGTGGCACAATTGAGCATTCTTTGGATATAGACCCAAAAGTGGGCAACCAAACTTTGTGCAAGCACAGGAAGCTCTTGATTGAGTTCCTCTCCAATCCCTGGGGTCATTTTAAAAAGTTACTATGCAGAGAGATGGCTTGACTGTTAAGAGCATTGGCTGCTCTTCCAGCTGATCCAGGTTCATTCCCAGTACCCACATTGCTCCTCACAACCATCTGCAACTTCAGTTCCAGGGGATCTAACACCCTCTTATGGCATCTGAGGGCACCAGGCACTCATGGTACATAGATACAAGTGTAGGCAAAAACACCCATAAACATAAAATCAAAACAATTTTGTGTATGTGTGTGGTATGTGTGTACATGTGGAAGTCAGAGGACAGCTTATGAAATGTTTTCCCTTTCCATGGTCGTGTGGCTTCTGGGGTCAAATTACATTGTCAGGCTTGGGTGGCAAGCTCTTTACCTTCTGAGCTATCTTGCTAATCCTCTTTGTTTCATTTTTACTATGTGCTATGAATGTTTGAGGCTGCTTTTAAAATTAAGATGGCCCAGTGCCAGGTGTGACATTCATGCTTACAATAGCAGCGGTCAGGTGGCTGAGGCAGAGGACTGCCCTTAGTTTGAGAGGATGGAGTAGGATCTTGTCTAAAACAAAAAACTCTGAAAGATGTGGCATACATATATTAAGGTGGCTAAAAGCTGTGGTTTTCTTAGGGGGTGGTGAGATGGCTTAGCAGATAAAGGCAATGTGAGTCTGAACTGTGGACCTCAAGTGGTAGAACAAGAAAACCAACTGCCATAGGTTGTCCTCCACATACACCTCCTCTCCCCCTGAATTAAATTTTTAAAAGACAACATATGGGGAATTAATTTCTAAAGTGACAAAACCAAAGAAAATTCAACAGGTAAAATGTTTGGCCTACCAGAGAGAATGGTCCAGATGGGAGAAATGGGGTCACATCCCCTGAAAGAAGACACCATCTTCCCTCCCAGAATACGACTAGGACTTGCTACAAAGTATTTAAATTTGATTTCTCTCTGTAGATTGCTGCTAAAATTGATTCAATTCCTCACTTGAATAATTCCACACCCCTGGTGGACCCCTCGGTGTAAGGATATGGAGTACAGAAGCGGCCCCTGGATGATGGAGGTAAGTTGCTGTAAACGGCTCACCTCTTTGATGGCAGTGAACCTGCCAGTGATTTTGCGTCTGTGTCAGCTGTTTCTGAGCAGTTCTCCAGCATCACATTCCTAGAGGAGCGGTGAAGAGCAAGTAGTTAGGGTGATTTTTCTTAGCAATTGGCTGGCATTTGAGTTCCTATTTGCCTTGATAATACAGGAATCTTTTCAGCTGGGCTCCACAGTAAAGACTTAGCCTCAGCGTCCACTTGGAAGTAATTTGACCCATTTGAGAATTGTGTTTGATTTAGTTCTCAGTTCCTCTGGCACTTGCATAGGAATTGAAGTTACTACTTTTGTGAAATACTAAGATTTGGTGCAAGTCCTGGGGAAGCTGTAGTTGAGTTGACCTCTAAGAAAGGGCATATTAGTGACCTTTCCAGTCTCTGCCAGCTTTTTACCACTCCCATTTGTTTCTGGTGTGTGGTTGTTGTTGATTTTTTTTTTAATCAGCATGTACTTACTAGGATCCATGGTGATATTTTTAGGTATGCATTTTACATACTTTAACCATATTTCCGTCCATCTTCCTCACCCTTCTCCGAGCCATCATCTTCCCCATAGTCCCCAGATATCGTCATGTGTGACAGACTCTTTCTAGAAGCATCCATCTGTTGGTTTATATTTCCAACTCAGAGTGTCTGTCACCAGTGTTCCACCCTTCTGTTGGTCACAGAGTTCACACTTGCTTTGTCCTTTCTTCTGCGGAGCACACTGTGAGGGTGGTGAAGTGCACAGAATTACTCATGGGTTTGCATATAGCTGGTGGGACTGTCTGTTCTGTTTGCTTTTCTGTTGATCTGCGTACATAGCCAATTGTGTATGGATGCTTCTGTGGTGTGTTGTTAAGAGGGAAAAGCCCACCAAATATTTAGAATATTGTGTTGTGTAATCTCCTTTTCAAAAGTGTGTGTTTTTTGTTTGTTTTGAGACAGGCTCTTTGTACATCACTCTGGCTGGTCTGGAACTCACTATGCAGACCAAGCTGGCCTTAAATTCAGAGATGTACTTGCCTCTGCATATTGAGTGTTGGTATTAAATGCATTGAGCCGCTAAGCCTGACTTAAGTGTTTGTTTGTTTGTTTGTTTGTTTGTTTAAGACAGGGTTTCACCTAGCAGTGGTGGTGCACACCTTTAATCTCAGCACTTGGGAGGCAGAGGCAGGTGGATCTCTGTGAGTTTGATGCCAGCCTGTCTTTTGAGGCTAACTTTTCTGGCTCCAGACTCTTTTGAGAGTGAAATCTCTTGCCAATTTAAAAACAAAACAAACAAACAAAACAATTCATGGGCTATGGAGATAGTTATAGCTCAGCACCTGATGACCTGAGTTCAATCCATGGAAAGAGAGAATTGATTGCCATAATTTGTCCTCTGAACTCCACAATGCATCTGTGCATGCATGCATACAAAATATATTAAAAGAAACAAAAACAAAAGATGGGCAGTGATAGCACACGCCTTTAATCCCAGTACTTGGGGTGACCGAGGAAGGAGCATCTCTGGGAGTTCAAGGCCAACCTGGTCTACAGACTGAGATCCAGGACAGCCAGGGCTACACAGAGAAACCCTGTCTCATAAAACAAAACAAACAAAACAAGCTGTTTGTGATCTCACACAGAAGTTCACCTCAGGGTTGTCAGAATGCAGGTAACCTTTTAAATCGCTGCTGCTAAGTGTGCCCTATGTTCTCTCTGTTTTTGTAGAGTGATTTCTTAGACCTGGTGTGGCTGAGTGTGTTAAGGGCAGTTTTGCCCAAGTGAGGAGAGTGGCTCGGAGAAACCTTCCTTTTCCAGGGTTTTGTGCTTTGTTTGCTCCTGTGGGACGGCAATACAACAATAAAATGGAGTCGTCTGACTCTGAGCACAGATCTTCTTAATGGAACACTCTAGCCCAGTATTCCCAGAAATCGTGATCAATCACTTTACAGTTTGCCCAGTCCTGTCTAGCAATTCAGCTGTGGAATCGAAGTGCGAAAAGTTGAGCCATGTGGTCTTTTGCATAGGGGATTTCTAAATATTTGCTAGTAAAACCCTCTGGCACTTTTAGGATATTTTTCTCCTGTTTGAAAGAAATCAGTGAACATTCTGAATTTATCAATTAAAAAGTACAGCATAACAAGCAGATATGGGTGCTGGAGACAGAATCTCAAGGGAAGACCAGACTCACATAAAATCCCAAGTCCTTACTATAATGTATGTATTTTCACTTCTTTTATTTGTTTGGTTTTTGAGATAGTCTCACTTTGTCTCCCTGGTTATCCTGGAACTCACTTTGAAGAACAGACTAGCCCAGAACTCAGATCCACCTTTCTTTGCCTCCTGGGTGCTGAGATCAAAAGGCAAGTGCTACCATGCCGCACATTTGGCATGGTAGAGGATAGCATAGGCTGGCCTTCAAATTGCCGTGTTAATAAGGACTTCATCTTGGGTTATATAGCAACTTGGAGGTGGATGAAGTTCTTCCTAACCCCACTGTCTCTACTTCCCAGGGACTACAGACATGTGCTACCATGTCTGCCTTCTTGCCTCCTTCTGAAATACACACTTTTCTGTGTCTGCTGTTGGTGAGTAGGTCCTTAAGGACAGACAACTCACCAGTATAGCTAGCTCCCTTCCCCTTCGCCTTCCCCTTCATGGTTGATTTCTTAGTACAGAAGTATCAGGGAGAGTGCAGCTGCATCTGCTAGGTCTCCCATACCTCTGCACATTTGCCTCCTCACAACCGACTATACTTGAGGAACAAGACATTACCCTCGGGTGGTCTGCACTATGCATTACAGTTTGATCAAATAATCCTCTTTGTTAAATGGCTTAGGAACATTGTTTATTTTTCTTCATTGCTCTCTAAGTTTGGAATTTGGGTTTTCTGATGAGCTGAGCAAGAACCCTGAAAATTGGGCCTAGTCTTGGCCTCAACCTCATCTTCTCACTTCCCAGTGACTAGGAATAAGGTCATTAGGTCAGATCTGGGGAGCTGTGTCCTGTGTAGAAGGAGAGAGAATTAAGCATATACAGGGCCATACAGTCAGAAGTGTTCTGTATGGAAAGGACCAGGTCAGTACATTGTAGGGAATGGCAGTTGTAAGCACTCCCTCAGATGACTTCTTTGTTTTTTAATGACTTTTAAAATTTTATATATATTGGTGTTTTACTTGCATATTTGTGAGTGTGTGGTGGTGTTAGATCCCCTAGAACTGAGTTACAGACAGTTGTGAGTGGGTGCTGGGATTGAACCCAGGTCTTTTATAAGAGCAGCCAGTGCTCTTAATCTCTGAGCCATCTCCATCCCTTGAGATGGCCTCTTAAGCCCACTTAGTCCTGCAGGATAGCAGCTCAACTCACCAGGCCTACCTCAGTGTTCTTCCCTGGCCTCTTAGTCTTTTTGAGGCAGGAACAGGAATTGGGTTCATCATGTAGCTCAGTCAGTCACACACTCATCACTTTCTTTTTTTAAGATTTATTTATTTAATGTATATTATTGCTCTATCTGCATGTACACCTATGTGTCAAAAGAAGGCATCAGATCCCACTACAGGTGGCTGTGAGCCACCTTGTGGTTGCTGGGAATAGAACTCAATCCTCTGGACGAGCAGAGGTCGATGTACTTAACCTCTGAGCCATCTCGCCAGCACCACTCGTCACTCTTTTACTCTATGTGTTGTGTACTTGTGGTGTGCACAGAGATCAGAGGGCTCTACATTTACATGAGGGCTCATGGATCAAATTCAAGTCATCAGACTTTGATAGACAAGTCATCTTGATGAACCGTGGTCCCAAACTCTCAAACCCTTCACTCTGAAGACTGTTACCCACATGTTCTCCATCTTTGAGATACCCCTTTGACATTCCATCACTTTGGAAATCTCTGCTCTCAGTTGCAGTGCTTTCCTGTCAATCGTTTGCATGTGCTGAGGTGGGCAGCTCCCAGAGCTGTCCGGCCTGTTAGGGTTCTCTTCTAAGCCCCAGATTGCCCTTGCCTGGCTGTCAGCCTCTGCTTCTGCAGCAGCCTGCTCAACTGCTGCTTCTCTGCTCTGCCTTCATCTAGTCCCCCCTGCCTCGGTTGGTGCTTTCCTACTTGGTGTTATATTGCAAGGTTGATGTGACTTTCTTCTAGAAATAGTCTTCATCTAGGCTTAGCCCTAGTGTAGAGGGGCTGGATGGGTTGCAGTCGATGACAGCTCTGTCATGAGACTATCCGTGAGGACTGTAACAAGACCTTTTTAAGGGTTGAGACTGTAGCTCAGTGGTAGAGCTAGGCTGAGGCCCTAAGTACAATCTCCAGCACTGCCACAAAAAAGAAAGGAAATGCTTTTACTTTAAAACTATCACTCGCCGGGCAGTGGCGGCGCACACCTTTAATCCCAGGACTCAGGACTCAGGAGGCAGAGGCAGGAGGGGGATCTCTATGAGTTCAGGGCCAGCCTGATCTAACAAGAGCAAGTTCCATTACAGGCTCCAAAGCTATAGAGAGAGACCTTGTCTTGAAAAACAAAAACAAACTATCACTTGTGAGTGAGTTAAATCCTGTTTCCATCAGAACTAGTCATTATACACATTAACATGCATACATAATTGACTAAAGGATGAAATGTAAACCCTCACTGTGTGATAAATTGGTTTTTAAGAAAGCTGGGCGCCCATATTAATCATGGGAGGAAAGCTCAGTGCTATGTCGACAGCCTCAGACCACTATCATTCACTCACTGTTACTCTTAGTGCTATGTCCATAGCCTCAGACTGATGGAAGAAGGTCATTGGTTAATTAATAAAGAAACTGCTTGGCCCTGATAGGTTAGAACATGGGTGGGTGGAGTAAACAGAACAGAATGCTGGGAGGAAGAGAGGTAAGACGCCTCAGACAGATGCCATGCAGAAGGTCAGACATGCTGAATCTTTCCCAGTAAGACTGCTACACAGATTATTAGAGATGGGTTGATTGGGATATGAGAATTAGCCAGTAAGGGCTAGAGCTAATGGGCCAAACAGTGTTTAAAAGAATACAGTTTGTGTGTTGTTATTTCAGGGCATAAGCTAGCCAGGCAGCCGGGAGCCAGGTGGCAGGAACACAGCCTGTAGCTCCCTTCAACATCAGACCACTATCGTTCACTCACTGTTACTCTTAGTGTTATGTCCATAGCCTCAGACCACTGTCTTCACTCACTGTTACTCTGTTGCGTCATGGGTCAGGCCTTGGCTTTAAGGTTTACTGCGGAGGGATACAGGTTCTTATTCATCTTTGACCCTCCCATTGAGTTAGTGTACAATGGACTCTTAAGCACCTGAATGTGTTTAATAGTTGCAGGTGAGGAATAACAAATAATATTACAGGATGAGGAGCAACTCAGTGGTTATATACTAGCCTAGTATGCAGGAGAGTCGGGGTTCCATCCTCAGCACCTTTTAAACAGCCTTTCAGCTGGGCTCAGCAAAGAAGTGCTCTGTGGTTTGGGACAGGAGTTGCTATCTAGGACACAGGAAGCCTTTGTGTCCCCCTCAGCCACCTGGGTATCACTATCCTTAACTGAGATGAGGAAAAGGCCAGTTATGGTTAGAAGAAACAACAGGGGGAGGGGGGCAGAACATGGAAAGGAATGTTAACAAACCAAGAGGAGGGCTGGGGAGGTGGCTCAGTGGGTACAGCACTTGTGTGAGATCATGACAGCGTAACGATATATAAAGTGTGCAGTGTGCAGTCCCAGCACTTTTGGGAGCTTGGAGGCCTGTTAACCTGGAGTGTGCACCAGTGACCTGAACCTCCATGAAGCCTACACTACATGGAAAGGTGCTCTTGGACACAAATACAGCAGACTAAAAACAAAAATCTGAAGAGGAAATTGGTTTTGTTTTTGCTGAGCATAAAATCCTGCCATTTTTCTCTCTGGAGCCGCACGCTGGTATCTGCCCAAGTACCTGGTGTCTGTGGGCAGGAACAGATGATTATTCAAGTTGCTGCTTGTTATAAAGTTGGTTAGTTGGCCAGGGATACTTTCCTAGCATTTCTTTGCAAGGGACAAAAACAAGGTACCTTTTAAGGTTAGTGCTGAAATTGGCAGTGTTACTCTTCAGAAATAATTTCTTATTGTCATCTGCCTCATAGCTGAGAAGTTCATTCTCCCTCCGCGTCCAGGGCAGTTTCCATTGTTGGGTGTGGGGTCCGTGAGGACCACCCTGTGTGTGCAGGTGTGCTGGAATTGAGGGGACTCGGGGAGTGAGATGCCTCCTTAGTGTGATCCTCAGGGGGACAGAGGAGACCCAAGAGGAACATGTTAACTGCATGTACAGTACTCAATGTCCTTTCTTACTGTTGGTTCCATTTTTAGGCACCCAATAAGATAGATGGCATGGAACCACACATGTGTAGCCACACGTTGTCCTTGCATGGAAAGGGAAGAGAATTTGGGCTTCTCAGCCTGCCTGAGGCCAAATACTGACTTGATGAAGTCTGGTCTTGTCCTTTGCTGTGGCCCTTGAAGCCTGTGTATTTGGGAGTGGTGGTGTGTGCAGGTTTGGTTCCAGTGTTTGGGAGCTCCTCCCAGTGTCAAGGAAACAGAATGATGCCAATTGCATGGCTAGTGACATGTCCCTTTGCCAACAAAAAGGAATTTCTGTTGCCGTGAGCACAGACTGTTGAATGGTGTTTGAACAGAAGCTCTGGAGTGTTCCGGTGAGTCTCACAGGGTTCTTTTGTGGCCAGCTTGCCCTTTGCTGTGTTCCTGTGGTTTCTCTGAGCCAGGGACCCACAGTCTTCATGCAGCTTTCACTGAGGACTGCATTCACTTGCGGGTGTTTAGTTCTTCCTGTATTCAGTGGACTCTTCATCCTCTAGTAGAGGAATTCTGATGGAAATCGAGGAGGCTGTTCTTGAAATCTGTGTGTGTGTGACTAAGGCTGGCTCAGCCTCTTGAGTGCTGAAGTTACAGGGCTAGAGCAGCTGTGCAGCCCCAAGAGCCTCTACCCTCGCTCTTTGGTATTTTGGTGGTGGACAGATTTTGGGCAAAGCCGATGATGGGGATTCCTCTCCTAAGCTGGAGAGTGTCCAGTTTTCATGTGAATGAAAATCGAGCACTGGGTAAGGATAAAGAAAGTTTTAGGAGTCAGTTAAAAACAACTCTCTTCCCCTGAGATAAGCGACTAACAGTGTGCAGTGTCTGTGCTTTGGTTGCAGACTGTCATCTTGCTATATTGATCCAGATGGAATATGGTATTTTTTTTCTGGATCAATAGCTTCAATGAACTCAGTAGTTTACTTTTGCTATGTTGTTTCTCTGCTTTCTCTCCTTTTAGGATGTCGTGATCTGGTTTGCTTTTGTTTGTCTCTTTATGGGCCTCTAACTGTCCAGAGGATGGCAGGGGAAACTGGACAGGAGACAGCAGTTGGCCTTCTTAAGCCTTCTCACTTTTCCAGACGTTGGTGTGATTGATGCTTTCCCCAGAGACATATTTTTGAATGCTCTTTTAGCATCTCGAAAGGTCCATTCAGTTCTTGGGTTTATAGTCTCCCTTTGTCTGCTGGCTGTATTTCTTAAACTGCGTTTTCCAGAAGAGAAATAGCACAGAACCATTTCTGCTGATGGCTGGTGAAGGAGGGGCGCATCAATAGCTGAGAGACAGAAACTAGACCAGGGAGCTTGGCAGAGCCACTCTGGGAATGTGGTTTGCAGAGTCAGTTCTAACAGTGAGAGCCTGTTGGCACTCAGCTCTGTGAAATGGACTAGAGAAGCTGCAGCAGGAGGGAGGAACCTGGTCCTTTCTGGTGCTGTTCTAGGTGGGGTGGGAGGTGACAGAACGGGGACATATGTGCGTGTTCTTAGTGACTACAGCTGCCATGGAGCAGCCCTCAGCAGTGCTTCCAAGGAGATAAATCTTCTCATTTGCTTTTAAAAGAGCAGGAAGACCTGGAGTATCTATGTTGGGTTTGGATGCCAAGCGGTAGGGAGCGAGCAGGATTTAGACAGACAGGCTTCCTTCCTAGGCCTCTCAGCATGTGGACACACAGATCAATTTCTTATCCTTCGTTCAGCTGGACACTGGGTTAGAGACTGTTGAACAAGACGTCCCCTCCTGTTTCATATCACATAACGCATTCATTTCAGCCACTGAGCCTAAATTACTGTTTGCTTTCTTTCTGCCTCCCTCCCACCCCCTGAACAGTAAGAATGCGGGTAAGGATGAAGTTAGTTTATCCGTACTAATGCTTTGATTTTTCTTTTCTTTTTCTCTTTGCCACAGTAGGTAACCAGTTAGGGGCCTTGGTACATCAAAGGTAAGCAGTGGGTTATGTTTTATTATTTATTGATCATTTCTAATTGTTTATTGATCCACCATCTGCACTGGAGTGTTAGCAAGTCAGAGGTTGGGAGTGTGGGAAGCCAGGGGCTAGATTTCCTTAAGACCCATGGTTTTTGCCAGCCCTCTCCAAAACAGAGGAGCAGACTGACTGAGGCACTAAGCCAGCCCCTGTTGGGCCTCAAGAGACTTTCACAATGGTGGAGTTGCTCTCTTCCACTGTAGATTACATTTGAAAGGAGGGAGTGCATTGTCCCGCTGGTTCTGTGAATCTGCCAGTGCCTGGGGATCTCAGCCTCTTCACAGAAGAATGCAGTTCTCAGCAAAGAGAGTGTGGGGCTTCAGAAGCAGGATTGCCTGGGATTGGGATTGCTGGAAAATCTTGGATTTAGTGCCTAGTTTCTTCTCTCCCTCTCTTCCCCCATAGCCTTCCAGTAAATTGAGGATTTAGATTAAAAGACCTTGGCTATAAAAGGGCCCATCTGTGAGATAAGAGTATCTGGTTGTAGCATCACCTACAGGAAGGGGGAACGTGCCCAGGAAACTGTGCTGCTTCTCCTCTACAGACTGTAACTGTAGGTTATGCCCTTAATCTGCACTGCCAGGGACACAGTTCTGCCCTCCGTGTTCTACATGAATGCTGGGGATTCTAAACATTACCAAGAGTCAGTTAAATGGAAGGTTTAGACTCCTTTTTTTTTTTTGTTTGCATTGTTTTGTTTATTAATGAGTTAAAATTACTTATGTGAGGTTGTTAGTATGAAATGCTGATAAGCATTTCCTGTTAAACTGTAATTAGCATGTTAATTTTCCAGAGTGCCTATTCTTAGTGCCTTAGACCAGTTTCAGCCTTGCCTTCAGAAGAGAACCTTTGAGCTGGGTATGGTGTCATATGACTATGCCTGCACTCGTGAGGCATAGAGGGATGTCTTTGATTCCAAGACTAGTCTGGTCTACATAGGAAGTTCCCAGGCCAGCCAGAGGTACATAGAGGGCGATTAGAGGGGAGTTAGAGATTGAGACTGATTGCCAGAGTTATTTGCGAGGACTGAGGAATTGCCCAGCTCTGTGGTATTCTCCACTGTGTATGTTGTTTAAGGGATCTTGTTGGGATTGGTTTTGTTCTCAGGGCTGGGGATGTGTGTAAGGCTGCCAGCAAGCATGCTAGGCAAGCATCCCATACAGGGCTGACCCAGTCCCGACATCACCCACTGTGCTCGTGTAGATGGCAGTCTAGTCGGTTCCTGTGGACAGCTTGTGCTCCATAAACAGGCAGATGCCCTGGCCCTGACAGCTGTGCTGATGCACATCCTGACAGACCTAGCCTCTTTGGGGAGTTGTTAGGTCTTGAGGGCTTTTGGATGCAAGGAATTGGACCCATTAGGATAGGCTGAAGCATGCCTGTATTGCCCAAGACAGAGAGAGATGGGGAAAGATCCCCTTGTACACAGGCTGAGGATGGTTCCTGTCCCTGTCCCAGTGATGTGGTGGCAGTGCTGATTATGCTGTTGGATTTCTAAGTGCTGCACTCCCCTGAAAACATGCACTGTATCTGATCCTTTCTCTGATAACTAAAAATCTAGCTGTGTGGAAGATGCTTAAAAATGTGTGCTTTTTAAAACTACTTGTATTTAGCATCCCCTAAGGTAAATGTTTAGATTTAATTGCTTTCCAGGGTGCTGGGCAATTGGATATTGTCCTCAATACACTACATGCTACATTTCAAAGTTTATTTGAAAGAGCCAGTGGAGTCTTTTTTTGTTTTTTTTGAAGGCACCTGATGGACAGGATCATATTTAACAAGAGTCTCTCACAGCATGAGGGAAGCGATTATACTGGCCTGGCCAGCACTGATTAGGCTCTGTGGGATGCTGGTTTTCTTGGGCACATACTACCTTAGAAGATATAGGTATATTGGAGGGAGGCCAGGAAACAAAAAGATCGAGAGATCCAAAAAGTTGGCCCTGTTTTTATATGGAGAACACCCCCTAGTAGGTGTCTGAACCTCTTTCTAAATCCTAGCAGATCTGTCCTGGGGTTGACAGCCCATCTGGTAGGCCCCGCCATGATATCACACCTGTATGTAGAACAGGCAGCTAGGGAAAGAGTTGGTTTAAGAATCTGGATGTTTCTCCTCTGACCAGAGGGGGAGACTTGGGTGTTCTCCTGGCGTGCTTGACCAAAGGGACTTGGAAATGATACTCTCCGTGTTCCTGAAAGGGCAAAATCAGCATGATTTGTTGTAAGCTTTTAATCTTGGGGATCTAAGGTGGTTGCAAATTTGAATTCTGACTTATTCTTTAAAAACATTGTTTGTTTTTAGGGCAGTAATAACAGAAGAATTCAAAGTACCTGATAAAATGGTTGGATTTAGTAAGTATCTGCTTTGTTTTTTCCCTTAGTCTTGGTCTGTTACAACCTCTTAGGAGCATGTCACCTGTGGAAGAATGCTATTGGGAGTGTGGCAGGCATTGGGGTCAATAGAGTCAGAGCATTTGTGCCTGGCCACCCCTAGCTATGCTCACCTCAGCTAAAGTACGGTTGTCTGCTGGTGTCACATGCAGCTTCTGTTGCTTTGATGCCTAGGAGTTGAGATGGGCTCCACAGGTCAGCTCGTAGTGAACTATGAGCAGAGCATAAATGTTTGCTGGGTTAATTAAACTTATCCATGCATGATTAAGTGTGGAAAGGGGGTTACATTCTGACCCTGCTCATTTTGTTGCAGTTATTGGCAGGGGAGGTGAGCAGATTTCACGAATTCAAGCGGAATCTGGTTGCAAAATTCAAATTGCCTCAGGTAAGGACTGCTTTTTCTCATAGATTTGTTTAGTAGAAATCAGTGTCACAGATTTTCCAGATTCAGTGTCTTTACTTTTTTGATAGACGCTAGGGTAAGTATGTGTGGTTGCTGTCTGTTTTGCACTTATGCACTGGAGCACCAGAACAGAAGCCAGCCTGGAGATAGGAGGTTCATGCCTGCCTTCTAGGACAACAATCAACTCTGGCCATCATGGCCTCTTCTGACACCTGCCAGCTGGGCTAGCAACTATGTTTTCTGCACCAGAATGTGATGCCAGGCATAGTGAGTGGGGCCTGCACCCAGCTTCCCTGTACAACCACCCTTCCACTTTGTGGAGAGAGGACAGTAGGGGTCCTAGCTGACTGAGTGTATGTCAGACACCTTTCACGACCTCTCCCAACACGGTCATTGTTGATCATGTGATGTTGAAAGACACAGATTGAAGAACAAGTTTTTATTTGTAGTTTTATTATGTCATCTGATGTGTCTTCTTTCCATTTGAGAGGAAGAGTCTGGAGACATTCCAGTAGAAGATGTTTGTTGTTTATATATAAGATACTCACTGCCATGTCTGAAGGCTGTAATTGCTGTTAGCTATTTGTCTTGAGAATTTTGTTTGCTCGTTTTTGCAGTGCTGGGGAGTGAAAACAGAGCCTCACATAGACTAGGAAACACTGCATCCCCGGTTCTCTCTTTCAGCTTTTTGAGGAAGGATTTTTATAAGGAGTTTTTAGGGTTAGTCTAAAACGTCATGTGGGTATTGGGAGCAAAGGTTTTCCTCTCGTGTCAAATGGTCCAGCAGGACCCGTGCTTTATTTCTACTGCCAATCTCTTGGGATATGGATACAATAACTGATATACCTGATGTCCTTATTAGTATTCAGCGCAATCTCCAGACCTGTGGCCATGAGACTGCTCTGCAGACAGAGCGAGGAAAGCATGATGAAGTGACTGAGGTGATGCAGAGCCTCTGGGCAGGTCAGAGTGAGTGGAGCTTGGCATTTAGGACCAACTCTCGGAGCTCTGCTGTGTCCTTCTGACTCCCCCATGGGACTCAGTCTCTATGTTGAGAACTACAGTTCTCTCCCCCAGCAAAGTAAACTGGTCTTTTTGGGAGACTATGCTTCTGTGGGGGTGGTGTAGGAACCAGCCCCAGAGAGACAGTCTACACACAGAGGCAAAGGCACACGGTTGCCTGATGCCCACCAACACATCTCATCTTCTTGATTCTTCTTATAGAGAGTTCTGGGATTCCAGAGAGGCCCTGTGTACTTACCGGAACCCCAGAAAGTATTGAGTAAGTTTGTTTTATTTACTTTTTCCTTTTACTCTTCTTCCTCCTTCCCCAAGTGAGGAGAAATGGAAGGGCAAACTGTTGCTGCAGACTGTTGGTCTGTGCTGAATCCGCCCCACAGCACACCCCTAGTAGGGGAAAGGCCTGGGAGGTTGCCACACCAGGAGAGCTCTTCTCTTACCTCAGACCCACACCAGGAGAGCTCTTCTCTTACCTCAGACACACAAACTTAGACCTTCCCAGCTGTCATGGCTCCGCCATGAACCAGGGACTCGGGAGTGGACACTCACCCTGGCCAACCATCTCCTTGTTAACACCTCCCATACTGGAACAGACCTGGGTGAAGGGACTGGATCACTGTGAGCAACAGAGAACTGGGCACCAGGCCTTTTTCCTGGACAAATTGATTTGCTTGCCTTTCTGATATTTGTGAACCAAGTGAATCCACTCTTTGTGGCCTTTGCTTCACTCACAGAGCCTTGTGAACCAACCAGCAGGTGCCTTGGCTTTGAAGGCCCCTTGGCAAGAGCCCTGATAATTTGCCTTGATTTCCTGTCCTGGTACATGCTTGCTCAGGGCCCTGTACCAAACACAGGCTCATAAACCCAAGCACCTCCTGGGGAGGAGGACTGTGCGGGCTGGAGTAGTTCTCATTCCTCTTTCAGTCTCTACAGTAGTGTTTCACTAGGGGATGGGGGAGCTGAGATTATGTCTGGCTCAATAGGTAAGGTTGTTTTATTGTTTCCATTTCTCAGGGAGCCTAGATGGGTTTAAATTCTCTTGTTCTGCTCTAACATTGCAAGCAGTGAACCAGAATAAATATCACTGGCAGGTGTGCATTATAGGGCAAGCTGGATGGTGTTGCTGGAGTCGCAGCGTTTTTTTCCCCAGCACAGGTTAATCTAGTACACTAGCAAAATACTAAAAAGCTGCTGCAGCTGAGGGCCCACAAGACGATTCTTCACACAAAGGCTCAAGACTGCAAAAGACTGCATGTCCATCCTACTCTTCTAAGCGGTCCTACTTATGTCTGCCAGAGGAGTTGAGGCTTCAGGAGGAATCTCTTTCTCCAATACAGCCAGCCTGTCTGGTTGCTGAATCTGTCAGAGGGACCAAAAAATAGATGGTGCTGATTTAAAGAATAAATTCTGCAAATAACAGCCAGGGAAGATTCTGGTGCAGAAAAGGAAATTGGCCCAGCATACGACATGGATAGACTGGGTTGTACTGTTGCCACATCACAGAAATGCAGACAGATAGTGGGGTGAAGCACAAAGTTTCTACTGGGATGGACCAGTCAGGTGTTCCCTGGAATACAGCTGCAGCAGGACACTGCCCCTTGTGCCCTGAAACCACTGGCGATGTTGTGGGCCTAACTGGAAGTCCTAAAGCAGTGTTGCTGACCACAGGGAGACATTGGAATTGAGGAGCACAAGCGTGGTTACTAACCCTTGCTTTCTTCTGTCTTTCTCATCGCTCCTTCTCTCTCCCACCCTCGTTAACAAGCGTGCTGAGTGGTTTTCTGTGAGGATTATGCTGGATTAGGGAACAGAGAGATGGGCAGAGAAATAAAGAGGAGGTTTCTGCCACCAAAGCTGCTGATATTCAAAGTAGGAGGCATGGCATTGTGACGACGCAAGCAGGAGCAGAGGGCAGACATGTAGGGGCTGGGGTCTGTCAGTGGCCTGTTCTTTAGATTCCACCTGGAAACTGTAGTGATGTGGTGTGGTGTGTGCTGCTTTTGAATTACAGTTCTGTAGCATGGCGAATGGTTCAGACCTCCCAGGTTGTGAGGCAGGAGCTGGAGCTGGATGGAGGGCTGCCTTGACTCCTTCGCATTTTCCCCGGCACCATTTCACTTCCCAGAAGACCTTAAACATCCATTTAATGCTGGGTCTCTTGTGATTTTTCTCCTTCCCAAAGACAAGCCAAACGGCTCCTGGGGCAGATTGTGGACCGCTGTCGGAATGGACCCGGCTTTCACAATGACATAGATGGCAACAGCACAATCCAAGAGCTTCTCATCCCTGCATCTAAAGTGGGTCTGGTCATCGGCAAAGGAGGGGAAACTATCAAGCAATTGCAGGTACGTGAGCACCATGTGGTGCTGAGCTGAACTGACCTGGCTCCCTTCCAAACCTCTCCTCACATAGGGCAGGAAAGACACCGTGGGAGAGCCTGGAGTCGGGGCTTCTAAAATCTGCTCCTTGTTAACATTGATTCTGTGCGTTTAAATATGCTTGTTTAGATGGACTAGGGGCACATATCTGGAATTTCAGCACCTGAGGGGCCTAGGCCAGGAAGATCAGGAGTTCAAGACCAGCCTAGGTTACATAATGAGTCTAGGGGCTTCTTTGGCTCCATGAGACCCTGGCTTGGGGGAGGGGTCCGTTTATAACTAGGTATGGTGGCACAGGCCTGGAGACTAGAGTGGGAAGAATATATGTCAGAAGCTGTCTTGGGCTATGCATAGTAAGAGCCTATTTCAGAACATTGAGCAAACAACTAGGGAAGTCCAGCCATGGCACATGCCTTTCCCCAGCATCCCTGCAGCACTTCAGGACATCAGAGCAGGCAGATCTCTGTGAGTTCAACCTCTCTGGGCTACATGGAGGGACCTAAAAACAACAACAATAAAAGCCCAAAGTGCTCATTTACTTTGATGTGCTCAGGGCCCTTGTCTATAGAAAGGAGAGTGACCATGTTACTGTAGTCAGAGCTGGGGGCTACTATTCCTTGACTTCCGTGAGTCGCCATGAAGAGACAGCTCTCAGCAGTCAAGAATGTTTGAAATTGAACATCTCCAGCTAAGGCAGCCACACTGAGCCAAGAAAGGTTTGATGCTCACTTGAATGCATGTTATACTGAGTGTTAAGCAGAGTTCAGAACTCTGGGATATGATGGCTTGTTTGTCATACCACCAAGCCTCAGATTTATAGAAGACCTCCTACAACATAGGGTAAATTGTAAAAGCTTAGGATTTGTTATCACAGAACCCACATATCAGCCAATTAGCCTTGAGTGGTTTGAGAGCCCATCTCACCTGTGCCCAGAAGGCAGCAGCACTTGATTGCATGGTGGGCACAGGTTGTCATCAGCCAATGATAAGCAGAACACATAGCTTAGTGTGTAGCACTCAATGGGAACAGCTCCCTAGAGTTGAGGTACTCCAGACATGAGTAAAGAGGATGGGCACGTGGGCATTATTTGTCAACATTCCCAGGTGAGAAGACTCTACCTTTGGGAGATGAGACATGGACTTAGAATCAACTGACCCAATTCTGCTTTCTGAGGCATTGTGCATTTTCTCTCATGACGTTGAAGGCTGTGTGGTTGCATGTCCCCCAACAGGAGCGGACAGGTGTGAAAATGGTCATGATCCAGGATGGCCCACTGCCCACAGGAGCAGACAAGCCTCTCCGCATCACTGGAGATCCATTTAAAGTACAGGTAGGAAGGAACTTGTGGGTTAGATTTGTCTGGCCCAGTGCTTCTCAACCTTCCTAATACTGTGATCCTTTAACACAGTTCCTCATGTTGTGGTAACCCCCAGCCATAAAATTATTCTCATTTTTACTTTATAACTGTAATTTTGCTGCTGTTATGAATTATAATGTAAATAACTGTTTTCTGATGGTCTTAGGTGACCCTTGAGAAAGGGTCATTAATCACCACCACCACCCAGGTAGTTGTTGACTGCTGGTGGTACCTCTTTGGGGAAATGTGATGGGGATGTAATCTCCAGCTATGCCCAGTGCCAAGGCCACTGGCCAGATGTGTGGCCACATGACAGGCCCCTGCCTGGGACAGTGCACACACTAGTTTTTTGCATTGAGGATGATTAAGTATATAGTTAGCATCGCTGTGCTGTGGGCAGCTTAAATCCAGACCAGCTGGAGGTGCAGATGAAAACTAGTGCCAGGCATGTTTACCTCAACACAGCTTCCTGTGCTGAGGAAGCAGAGTTCAGCCTGTGGCTGCACACTCCATCTTGCTGGTACAGAAATGTTAAGTGTCTATGGGTGTGTATTGTCAGTGAAATTCTAGTGTTCTGACATCCGCAGCCTGTCTTCTTACTGCATCTAACCTGCTATGCTTATTTAAGAGCATTGGGACTGGGTAGTGCATGCCATTAAAGCACTCAAAAGGCAGAGGCAAGCAGATCTCTGAGCCTCCAGAGCAGCCAGGGCTACCCAAAGAAACCCTGTCTGGGGTGGGGGAGCAGGGGGTTGTGGACTCTGACCCAGTGAGGTTGGCCAGTCTCTCAGTTTCACTCCCCTCTTCCCTCTCCCTTCAGCTGTTCTCACTGTACCAGGGTAGTCCTGGTGAGAGCTAGGTGGAGGGATATCAGTACTATATAGCTCCTCCCTCCCTTCAGGCCAGCTGCTTCCGTGCCCTTTCTTCCCCCAGGCTTCCAACTTTCTTTAAAATAAGATTACCAGGTAATCTCAGTTTAGGGAAGTAAAGAGCAGGTAGATCCTGGGAACTCTCTGGTCAGCCAGCCTATGGAGACATTGGGGCCAGTGAAAGCCCCTCTCTTAAAAATCAATCAAGGTGTACAGCTCCAGAGAAGCAATACCTGAGATGGTCCTCTGGCCACCTCCTGCCAACACAAAATAGGTACACAATCGGATTTGCTTCTTGTCTTTTACCAGTTAAATTTCCAGGTGTGAGCTGGTGTATCCAGCCACTGTGTCACAGTTTACTCAGTGCTGGGGTTGAGCCTGGATCTTTGTGGAGTGTAGAACCACTCCACAAACACATACATCCCAGCTTCTTGAAAAGTGTCTTCAGGAAAATACCCCTATTTTATTGACCTTTATTCATAAGTTTGCAGGGAAATAATTGTGATTTTAAGGTCTTCACTTCTTTTCCTTTTGTTTGGCTACAGTCCAAGGCATTGAAACCTGAAGTCCTAGGCAGGGTAAGCAAGCACTAAGTTCACTTCTTATGAAAAACAGGACAGTGAGATCTGCCTCGTGCTTTCAAGTCTGTGAGGCCATCTTAATCAGAGTTTGATAACTGCTGCAGTTCAGCTGGCCTGGGGTGTGACGCAGTCATATACCACATACCTAGGATTGTGCATGGTCCTAGGTTCCACCCCTAGCACTAAAACATCTAAGAGTTCTGAGGGCCAGGAGCTGTCTCTGTGGTCTGTGCTGCCTGTTCCTGCCTGTTCTCTGGCTCAAGGGAGCCTCTGCTAAAATACATTTGGGGCCACTGGAAAGTTTTCTACCCACCTGCAAGTAAGTGGGCGACTCTTACAGTTTGAACCTTAGAGTAGACAACAGTGTGCCCTAAGACTCTCATCCTTGTCAGCAGCTGAACACCTTCACAGTCTTGGATCTCATTGACCCTGATCCTGGCTTTCTGCCTGGTGCTGTCCTTTTCCAGGATTTTTCCCCATTGGTGCTTTTTGTTTTTGTTTGTGCAGCAAGCAAGAGAAATGGTCCTAGAGATCATCCGAGAGAAAGACCAGGCTGACTTCCGGGGTGTGCGTGGCGATTTCACCTCCCGAGCAGGAGGAGGTAGTATAGAGGTGAGCTGGACCCACAGGCCAGTGGGCAAACAAGGTTGAGTTTAAAGCCAGCCTGGTTTACATAACAAGCCCAGGCCAGCCAGGGCTACATAATGATATGATCCTGTCTCAAAAAAGAGTGCCGCTAAAATCTCTGGTCACACTTCTCAGCTCCTTAGCCTCAAACTGGTTATGTTGGTTTTTTCATCCTGAAAACTTAAGAGTCTACACACTGCTCACAGATATGAAGGGGAAACAAACATGAAAAGCCAACTGCCTTACAGAGCAGGTCCCTCCTCTGCTTTTTACAATTTTGCTTTAAAGGTTAACTTGATGTCCAGATAGGGGCCAAATCCAAGTTTTCACAGTGATAGATCATGATTATATCAAACTTGGAATCTTGTGGTGGCAGTGGTGGCACACGCCTTTAATTCCAGCACTTGGGAGGCTGTGAATTCAAGGCCAGCCTGGTCTAAAAAAAACTACCCAGGACAGTTAGGGCTGCAACACAGAGAAACCCTGTCTCAAGAAACCAAAACAAATAAACAAAAACTTGGAATCTTGTTTTATTGGTGAGATGAAATAGTGTCAGAAATCTGATCTACAATTTGCATTTATGCTTCTGCGTGCAAACATCATGCTTAGTGCGGTGAGCCAGATTCACAGTGGCCACGCTGGGCAAGGTGGAGTCAGGCAGAAAGCACAATAGAAGCAAATGGCGTTGTTCAGTGGTACAGAGTTTCTGTGGTGACCGATAGGCACTGGGTCTAGGTGGTGCTGCTGCTCACTCCACAGCATCATGACTGTATCTGAGGCCATTGGACACCACACTTGAGTGACTGCGTGGCAGATGCTGCAGCCTGTGACTTTACTACAGTTTTACAGATGAACAAAAGACTGTAAAAGGCCACAGGTATAGCCAATGTGATATATTTGTATGTAGTTCCGTGGAATTTGGGAGATAAAATGTTATTTAAGTCTTTTCTCTGTAGGAGCTTTATATTATTTTAATTTTTTGCTTTAAAAAGAAAGGCCAGGTGCTGCAGAGGTAGTTCAGCAGTTAAAAGCTATGGCTGTTCTTTGCAGAAGACATGAATTCAGATCCCAACACTCACAGCAGTTCAGAGCCACCTGTAACTCTAGCTCTACATAGCCTCTGTAGGCACCTGTACTCATGTGCATACAAGACACGCACGCACAATTAAAATTTTTTTTAATTGGCCAGGAGAGATAGGCTAACTGCTCTTCCAGAGGACCCAGTAAAATTTTCAGCACCTACGTGACAGCTAATAGCTGTCTCTGACTCCGAGATCTGACACTTTCACACAAATAAACATTCAGGCAAAGCAAGAAAGCACGCCAGGGCGATGGTGGCGCACGCCTTTAATCCCAGCACTTGAGAGGCAGAGGCAGGTGGATCTCTGTGAGTTCGAGGCCAGCCTGGTCTACAAGAGCTAGATCCAGGACAGGCTCCAAACAACAGAAACCCTGTCTCGAAAACAAGCAAACAAAAAACATCAATGTGCATAGATAAGAATAAATAAACTTTTAAAAATTAAATCTTTACAAAGTCACATGTGAAGAAGCTTTGATGGGTTTGTCTGTCTGTCTAGGTGTCTGTGCCTAGGTTTGCTGTTGGGATTGTCATAGGAAGAAATGGAGAAATGATCAAAAAGATCCAGAATGATGCTGGCGTGAGGATCCAGTTCAAACCAGGTTGGTATGGTGTTAGATCTACCAGTGGGCTGTGTTAGCCATGTGTGTTTTTTTTCTTTCTCTTTGACAATCTCCATTTCCTCCCTAGTCATTGTGTCTTTTTAGTTGTGTGCTGGTTTGATCTTTCTGGCCTGTGGTTTCTAGCTAACCCACCTCCACACACATCAAATACATGAAGACTTCAGCATGGCTTTTCCAGTTGATAATTTTGCTAAGTGAAGATTTCTTTACAAAATACACTGTTTTGATCTTATACAATCAGACATAATTTAATACCACAATGAAGGATAAACACCTTTCATGGAAGGGACGAAGATCTTACTGTGTTGCTTAGGCTGGCCTTGAGCTCATTATTGTCCTGCCTTAGCCTCCCAAGTGCTGGGTCTGTACTTGCACAGTGATTATTCTGACACATATAAAAAGGCACACTTGTACACAGTCCTCATCACACTGCTCTGAGGGTTTAGACTGTGAGACAAGACTTTATTTGTTGTTTGATCTCAGGCTTTTCCTTACCCTCTCTGATCTGATTCCACAGACGACGGGATTAGTCCAGAAAGAGCAGCACAGGTCATGGGCCCTCCAGATCGGTGTCAGCATGCAGCGCACATCATCAATGAACTCATTCTAACAGCACAGGTGGGTTTAGCATTCTGTGTCTCAGAGCCGACCCAGAAATATAGTGCACCATGGTACTCTGACCGCTAGACATTTTTCACATCTGCCTCTTCCTGCCTGTGTGCTTTTCCTTACTTGTTTGTTACCCCCTGCCTTGATTGCCCAGAATCTAGGTTTTTCACTACACATTTATTAATACAGGAGAGAGTGAGTGTGTGTGTGTGTGTGTGTGTGTGTGTGTGTGTGTGTGTGATACATACATGGTATAACATGCATGTGACAGTCGATTTTCTGGAGACTTCATCATGTATGTCCTAAGTATCAAGTTTAGTTGTTAGATTTGGTTGTTAGAGCAAAACATTTCACATACTCTAGGTTTTCTTTATACAAGCAGCTATGTCCCATCTGTGGCACATAGGTCATATGCACCCAAGCTATAATTATACAAAATTGCAAACTTATGTAAAGCTTTTGAGTTTTTTTTATTTAACTTTTTGTTTTGTTTGAGTAATCATATTTACTTCATGTGTATGAGTGCTTGCTTGCATGTGTGTGTACCACATGTGTATAGTACCCATGGAGGCTGGAAGAGGATATCGGATCTTCTGGAACTGGAATTACGGTTAAGCCATCTGACATGGGTGCGAGAACCGAACCTGAGTCCTCTGCAAGTGCTCTTTGCCACTGAGCATTTCTCCATCCCCAGCTATGTGGTTCTGAAGTGTGAGCTTTGTAGACAGATGATGGCGTCACAGCACAGTGCCTGTTTCCAACAGTCAGGAATATTTGTTATAAAATCAACATGGAATGAATCCAGGAAGCACAGCAGAACCTATTCTGTCCCTGATGGCCCATGTCTTACACCTGGGGTTTGCTGTTGATGTCTTGGTAGGCATTTTGATGCAGGCCCTGACCCTGTAGCGCAGACGGGCCTCAATTTTTTTCCTTTATTTATTTATTTGTTTGTTTGTTTTTACTTAAAATTTTCCACCTCCTCCCATTTTTCTCCCCCTCCTCCTCCCTCTCCAGTCCAAAGAGCAGTCAGGGTTCCCTGCGACGGGCCTCAATTTTATGATGATCCTTCTGTCTCAGCCTCTCAAGTATTGGGATTGGAGGTGTGTTCCCCTAGTCCTGCTCTTATACTTGGTTCCAAGCTTGCCTTTAGGTGAGTTTGTGTGTGTGTTAGCGACTATTAATCTGAGGGCTTGTGACATTTACACATGTCAGTAGTGTTAGCACACCTTCCAGGCCTGCAGGAGTGAAGGCTACCAACCAATAACTAGAGTCAGGGGTCTGAGCAGCCTGTTGGGAATCATTTTATCTACTTCTTCGTTAGCTTGTGACCTCTGACAAGTTCTGAGGTGCCTGCAGGGATTCTTCCTATTTTGGCAGCACCAGACCAGGGTTTTCACCAGGAGATGTGCCTGGAGTGGCTCTCGCCAGCAGTCTTAGAGTGAAGGGCTGCTTTCCGGTTGTAAATGTGTGCCTCCTGTTCAGTCCCTGATTCACCTTTGTGTGGCTTGGGTTTTAATCAGAGCCCAGGTGGTTTGTTGGGGTTGAACTTAGTTAACACCTTTTCTGTATAAGTTTGAAAGCTACAGAGCCACCTTGTTCTCACATCCACCTTGGAAAAGCTGGCTGTCCATGCCAGTCTCATGGGAAACCCTCAGAGAACTGTGTACTTGTTAGGCTCCCAGCTTCTAGGTACTGTGCAGTTAGTTCTCATGGTCAACAGGCACTTCTTCACTATGCCAGCCTGCTTACCATGACTGCAGGTTCACTCCACACCCCAGAGTGAGGCCTGCTGCCTTAGAGTGCAGTCACTCTAATGATTCCTGGACACGCCCAACCTTGGGCCAGCCTTTCTAGGTCCCTCTGTCCCTCAGTCTCTTTGATTTTTCTTTTTTTTTTTTTTTTTTAATAGAAAAGCATGCTCTCTGGTCAGCAGTCTTTCCCTTTTTAAAAAAAAAAATTTATTTATTATGTATACAATATTCTGTCTGTGTGTATGCCTGCAGGCCAGAAGAGGGCACCAGACCTCATTACAGATGGTTGTGAGCCACCATGTGGTTGCTGGGAATTGAACTCAGGACCTTTGGTAGAGCAGGCAATGCTCTTAACCTCTGAGCCATCTCTCCAGCCCTGTCTCTTTGGTTTTTCAAGACAGGGTTACTCTGTTGCTTTGGAGCCTGTCCTGGGACTTGCTCTGTAGACCAAGCTGGCCTCGAACTCCGCCTGCCTCTTCCTCCCGAGTGCTGGGATTAAAGGTGTGCACCACCACTGCCCAGCTTTCTATCCCTCAGTCGTAAAGACGGCTAGCTTTCCAACTCATACTTCTCCTGCCTCAGCTCTCTCCCCCTAATTCTCTGGGGGTTTGGACATCTGCAACCAAATCGCTCTCTTGAGGGTCTTCCTACACATTCTTGGTAGCAAGACCACCTTTTTTTAAAATTATATTTATGTTTACTCATTGTATGTGCACGTTCACATGCCATAACCTATTTGTGGAAGTTGAAAGACAACTGGCAGGATTCGGGTCTCCCCTTCCACCAGGTGGGTTTCAGGATCAAGCTCAGGACCATCTCACCATACCGAGAACTTTTTCCTTAAGTCCTTTTGTCCTTTCTGCTGGCCCTTGTGGAGAAGTAGAGTCACGCACTGCCCCTCCTGCCACTCTCAAATGCTACTTGTGGTAGCTCTTCCACATCTACCTTCTGCTGACAGACCCAGCGTGAGTTAGCCTCAATTCAAGTAAAGCCTAATCTTGAGGGCCTTGTAATGTAGATGATCCCAGGCTTCTGCACAGAGTTTCTGGCTTCTGGTTTTAAGCAGGTGTTTGGATGTTGTGTGCATCCACAGGTATCTTTTTTATTTTTTTTTTTATTTTTATTTTTTTTGTTTTGTTTTGTTTTGTTTTTCAAGACAGGGTTTCTCTGTGGCTTTGGGGCCTGTCCTGGCACTAGCTCTGTAGACCAGGCTGGTCTCGAACTCACAGAAATCTGCCTGCCTCTGCCTCCCGAGTGCTGGGATTAAAGGCGTGCGCCACCATCGCCCAGCATCACAGGTAACTTTTTATAACAAAATGCTAATTAAGTCTGTTCTGAATTGGAGCTTCCAAGTCTAAAACATTGAGGGTCCAGTGTGTGGTGCTGGTGTGTTCTGTTGTTAAACCATCTCAGAGGGGCTGAGATGCTCTGATTCAGTGGCAGATATCCTCACTGTTACCTTTCTTCCTTACCAGGAAAGAGATGGCCTTGGAGGCCTGGCGGTAGCTAGAGGAAGAGGTCGTGGCCGTGGGGACTGGAGTGTGGGCACTCCTGGTAGTGTCCAGGAAATTACATATACAGTGCCAGCTGATAAGTGTGGCCTTGTAATAGGCAAAGGTAAGAGGCAACTGTTGGGGTTTCTGTCCCCTATAGCTGCTCAAGGGAGGAGAAGCCAACTCTCAGGCCTATATTTATTTCATCCTCTGGGGTCCCTGACTTGGCTTGTTATGATAGAGGCAACACACCTGTTTGGGTGTGGGCAGGCAGGAAATCAAACCTACCACCTGAATCTGTTCGGCTGTTAGGAATTGGGAGGTGTGGGCCTCAGGCTCTTGTCTGTAGACTGGAATGAACTTAGCCATGTGAGGTCATCACTCATGCCTTCTGCAGAGTGCTCTCTGACATGAACGTTAAACTTTCCCACTGGATTTGCCCACTTGGTCTTTGTGGACAGCATAGGAGCCTTTGAGTAATGCCAACACCCTGTGAGGAGAGTAGAGATTGACTTGCTAGTTGCTCCTAGACATTTGGGGGTAATTGTAACATTGGGTGGAACACCTAGTTCCTTCCTGCCAGCTAGGAGGGAGCAGGCAGCATAGGCCACAGGCCACAAAGACTTGGCCGGCATCCCTGGGATCGCTGAGCTGAACTTTGCTACCAGCAGGGCTTGTGTTGACATTGGCTTTTGTTTTCCTTCACTATTCATTTGACAACATGGGGAGAAAATGACTTCTCCACAGAGTCCCTAAGATTTCTTGTTATAGGGAATGTGACTTGGGCTGTACCCACCCGCAGATCTTAGCCCCATCCATGTGACCTTGGGAGCTGAAGTGGGTATTACCACAAGAGAGCCCCAGGATCTGTAGTTACCGCTCCTTGGGGAAGTATTGGTGCTCGTTCAAGGTATTACTCTCCTGTAGCCACATCTTTCAGATTATTGGGTGGTAGGAATAGAAGAATAGAAGAAGGGTTTTGGTTTGAGACCAGGCTACCTCTACATTATGACCCTCCTGTCTGTCCCAGCCTCTAGGTCGGTGCTTCTCAGTCTTCCTAGCACTGTGGCCCTTTAATTTCCTCTTGTTATGGTGACCCCAACCATAAAATGATTTCATTGCTATGCCATAGCTCCTGTTATGAGTCATAATGTGAATATCTGGTATGGAGAATATTTGCTATCACTCCTGTAGGGGTCGTGACCAACAAGTTGAGGACCTCTGCTCTAGATGCTGGAATTGTAGCATGGTGACTAATGGAGCAGTTTGTTTTTGTTTTCTGGTACATGCTGCCAAGTGTGTCATTGATCCTGCTGGCTACTTAGAATGGTAGACATTCCCGCAGCCCATCGAACCCGTTGACAATACTAAGAGATTCAATTCACCTGATACCTATAGATAAGGGATCAGTTCTGTGTGTCTGGCCTTTTGAAACCATCTTGTGAGTGATAACTCTCATTTGAGTGTCTGAGCAAACCCTGGCAGAAGCACCCCATCTGTGTGCATGTATGTGGTATCATGTCCGTCCTCCATGGAGCCACCCAAGTAGTTTCTAGAGGACAGTGACAACAGGGAAGTGGTGGCTGACACCCTGCTCCTGTGTTCCCCCACACTGTGGGACCCATAAACTAGGGTGACTGTGGCAAGGATGTCTCGTGTGAGCAGTTTCCTTTTCTTGGGAAAAGCATGTGGCTAAAGCAGAGAGAGCTCTCCCAGCTTCTGCCCTTGGACAGCCTCCCGGGCCCCTGCTGGATTTCCATGATAAACACAGCAACATTGACAGATAGTCTGGCCAGCCCTGCTCTTGTCAGCCAGGCCTTTTAGCAGCTTTGATTAATTGCTTTACGATTTCACATCCAGCCGGGCCGCTGGTGGGTCACTTCTGCCCCCCATCAGGTGGAAGAATGGAGCAGGCTGCTGAATGAGTCCAAGACAGCCACCATGTGCCAAACTAGTGACCTCATTTTGAAGGAAGATGAACTTAAATTAACTCCTTCTGGCCCCATGCAGTTTTGCAGTGCCTCCATGCCCAATTAGCATGCTCCGGAGGTCCCGGCTAAGGTGGGCTGCTGGGGGCTCTGCTGCAAGGCGGCCTGCCAGTCCTCAGTCTCAGGCACACTTGTTCTTGCCTTCTGGCTGGGGCCGTCTGAGATTGGACTGATGCAGGTGCCTGTGGTCACGGTCTCTGTTTCTTCTTTGTTCCTCGTTGAATCTACAAAACTGATTGGGAGCAAGCTGCTCACTCTTTAAGGGGCAGAGATGATGAAGGCCATGGCCTCTGAGCAAAGGGTCCTGGAGCTGCACTGTAGCAAACACTCACCTATCATCCTCCAGTCTGTACTCAGTGAGGCTGACTGCCCACCCTGCTTCAGGAAGGCTCGCTATTTTTGTTTCATGACCCTTCCAGATGGAATAAGACAAACTTGTTCCCACTGTTCTCCATCTGCCTCACTTTGGTGGTGTGTGTAGGGGAACCTGCATGTGCTGAGGAAAGGTTGGCGTGTGTGCAGCAGGCTTTGGGGTATGCTGCGGTCAGTCAGTCATTTCATGCTGAGTCTGATTGGAAATGGGTAGGGGCAGCCCAGCACTAGCTCATGGCCTCCCTGCTCTTCTTACACCAGACCTTCAACATTTTATCTTCTTCGATTTTGTAAAACTTGTGCTCCAGGTTTTCCGTGTATTCTGTCTATACTCTACTCCCACAAAGTTGATGGAGTAGATCTGTAAGTTTTGTGAAACTTCAGAAGAATTGGGTCATTGTTCACTGGCTGGTGGAGTTTTTGTTACGCACATTTCACTAAAAGACCGAGTCTTGCTGGTTTTCAGAGAGAACAACTATATTTCCATCATCCTGCTCCATCCAGGCTGTGCCCCGCCTCCTCCCTCTCTGTACTGCTTCTGTCTGGACCCATCCCCCCACCAAGGCAGAGGGACCTGAGAGGGAACAGGGTGTGATATTAAAGGCCAGAATGGGCTCCAGGCATTGTTGGGGCCTGTAGCCGCCCATTTGACCTGTCAGGGAGGGCAGCTCCTACCCAGGCTGAAGGCTCCATTGTGTATGGTAGGGCCATCAGGTCTCTGATCTCACAGTGAGAAGGATCAGCCTTCTCTGGGTGGACTTCAAGGCAGGAATGAGTTCAGTGACCAGCAGATCCAAGGGCCTTGGGCCCAGACCTTCCTATGACCTCAGGCCTCAGTCCAGTTCCAAATGGTGATCTTCACTCCAGGTAGCTAGTGTTGCAAACAAGAAGCTCTAGATTTTGTCAGGGCCCTTGTGTGCAGTAAGCAGAAAAAAGTGGCTGGCTGTGGGCAAGAGTTAACATGTACCTTCCAGCCTCCCCTAAACATAGGCAACACAGACTCAGGGCCACCTCTGGTCCAATCAACTGTATCTCCTGCCTGCAGGGGGCGAGAACATCAAAAGCATCAACCAGCAGTCAGGTGCACACGTGGAGCTTCAGCGGAACCCCCCTCCTAACACCGACCCCAACCTGCGGATATTTACCATCCGGGGTGCTCCTCAGCAGATCGAGGTGGCCAGGCATCTCATAGATGAGAAAGTTGGCGTACGTACACGGGCCTTTCCCCACCTGGCTTATACTAGCTGGATTTGCTTTTGGATGTCCAAGGTACCTGTTTTCCCCCAGAACCTTGTGCTTCCTGCGCCTTTCCTTCCTTGCATCATATGGGGGCAGCCTCTCCTCCTCTGCCTAAGGGAAAGTCCAAGGCTCAGGGAATGCCAGGCCCAGATGCAGTGAAAGAAGCCTGTGGCAAGTGACTGGCCATGGCTCCGGCAGTCAGACCTCCAAGCGTGTCCCCGCAGGCATAGATGAGCAGCCGGACAGCAGCCTTCCCCCAGCACTGCCCCCAGGCTCCCTCAGGCGTCACCCTGGCCACCAGCCCTGCAGGCAGATTTCATTGACTCTGGCTTTAGTTTCAGGCACCTCAAAGCAGATAAAGAAAGGGAGTGTTGATGGAGGACAGATGGGCCACTGCTCACCTCAATGGGGACGTAGAATGGCAGAAAGAGCCCTGGGCCAGCCTAAATTGACGGGAGAGTCAAGCAGGTTGGTCCTCCCCCAGGGTGACATGCCAGGGCAATCGTGGTGGCAACTGGCTGTGTGGTGGTCTTGGTCACTTGAGGGGCAGAGCCACCACTGCAGACACTGTCTGCTGGGGGAAGGAAGCTAGTATGAGCGCAGAATTGTCTCCTTCACTTGACTTGCCTCCCATAGTGGGCTTCCCTGGGCGGAGGGCATGGTAACACGGTGACAGGGGTGAGAGCTCCTCTGTGCCCACACAGGGTGCCAGCCTCGGAGCCCCTGCAGCCTTTGGACAGAGCCCCTTCAGCCAGCCACCAGCTGCGCCACATCAAAAGTGAGTCCTCTGCCTCTGTCTTGGTTGATGGTTTATTACCTGTCCTGCTTCTCAGAAGTGCTTGTCTAAGTCCTGGGCAGGGACGGCAGCACTGTGTTTTCCTCTCCTTTCTGTGGATAACTGAGCAGTCAGGGTAGAGCCTCAGAGCTTGGGGTGTGTGGACGGAGGGGAGGGGTTTGAAAGGGCAGCCTTTCCTGCACATCAACCGTTCTCCTCCTTCCCTACAGCGCCTTTCCTCCCAGGGGCTTCCCCAACATGGCTGCTAAAGTTAACGGGAACCCCCACAGCACCCCTGTGAGGTAGGTGATTACCTGTCCTTCTGCCAGTAGGAGGGGGAGGGCATCAAACAGAGAAGGATGATTGGAAAGCAGGGGGAGGGCATGTGACCCGTGCTGTCACGAAGGACTCTTCTGTCATCCACAGTGGCCCTCCAGCTTTTCTGACCCAGGGCTGGGGCAGCACTTACCAGGCTTGGCAGCAGCCCACACAAGTCCCAAGTAAGTGATTCAAGAGGGTGAGGGTATGCGCCAGGTGGCCTGCCTGAGGCTCACAGATCCAGGGAACTGAGGGGCAGGAGGTATTCTGCTACATCTTGGTTTAGTTCCTCCCCAGAGATGGGGCCCCAGGAGCCCCAGCATGTGGGAATGCCCAGGAAGCTGAGACTACTTTCCCTGGCTCATGGGACCCCCTCAGAGCGTGGGGTGGGGCTGGAAGTGACTGGGTGTGGTTAGGTGTGATAAGAGTCTCCTTTCCTTCTGAGGGCTGAGCTGCAGCTGGAGCTTCCCTGGGCTCTGCTCTCCACAGCCCCCTCCCCTGCTGAGCACCCCTCTCGCGCAGTCTTTTTGTGTCACGGTGACCTCGTTTCTCATCAGTGACTTAGAGGGGCTTTTTCTGTCCCTTGGACTTCTGGGGAGACTAACAGAATTGTCTCTGCTAAGGGCTACCTGGCCAGGGCACTACTGAAAAGAGAGGGGCTGTGCAGTCTTCAGCCCCCCCCCCACACACACACACACATCTCCACACCCAGCTCTGCTCTGACTTTCCCAAACATGATGGCACAAGTGTCAAACTATGACAGTTGCTTCCCTGTCAGCAAGGCCCCTAATGGCGTCCACCCTCTGTCGCACTAACCATGCTTCCTCTGCTGAGCTGGTAGCACTGGGTTCCTAGTTCTCACCTTCTCCAGCACTCTCCTGTCTGCTCGACTTGTGGAGCTGGTTCTCGCGGTGCTGGCCTGTCAGATACCGTTCTGCTCTGTGCATTCCCTCAAGCCGAGAGGATGACAAAATTGTGGTCTCATTTGCCCCGTTGTTCCCAGTAGAAGCCCTGAGGAAAGCTGCTTTTCCCTGTGCCCCCAAAAGGAGCACTAGGGTGAGGGTTCAGCAGAACATGAAGCCCAGTTGATTGGCCTTGGTGTGGGTGGCAAACAGGAGGAAGAAAGAAAGGCTGGCAGCTTCCACCTGTCTGGCTGAACTCTGCCTGTGGAAACAGGTTGGAAGCAGTCCTGTGCACACCCCTATGTTTCAGGAAAGAAGACAGAAGCTGTTCCCCTGCAGTTCAGCAACTGTCCTTTTCCCCTGCAGCTGCTCTTCAGCTAATTGGCTTGGCAAAAAATAACAGATAACTGCTGAGCTGTGTGAGCGGCACATTCTTCACGTCCCTTAGACTGCCCTTCATCACCACGTGTGCTGTTCCTGGCCTCACTGCCCCAAGGCCTAATGCTACCTTGCCTTGACACTGGGTGTGTCCTCATTCCTGCCTCCCCTGCCAATAGTGGAAAAAGAGGTGCCTAGGGCTCTGTGCTGTTTCCTTGCAGAAAGAAAGGCTAGGCAAGATCCCAGCTGGGTGCTGTTATTTCTGCCACTAGCACATGCACAGTGTGTTTCTGACTTCAAACCCCAGACCTGGGCCTTCATGTCACAGGGGATTCCCACCCCCCTCACCTTTCTTGTCCAGAGGGATAGTGGTGGCGCATGAGGGGCCTGATGAGGTTTCAGCACCATTTGAACACTGTCCATTAGGGACTAGGTCCAGAAAATCTAAGAAGACTGACTTCCAGCTCTGCCTCCTAATGACCTTGGTTGCAGCCTTGCTCAGTGAATACTGTGCCTTCACAGCTGGGGCCCAAGTGAGCCAGGATGGGAGTCCATGAGCAAGGCCTGACTGTTCTCTTCTCTGCACAGGCCAGCAGAGCCAGCCACAGAGCAGCCAGCCCGACTACAGCAAGGCCTGGGAGGACTATTACAAAAAGAGTGAGTCAGCCACCACACTGCCCACTGTGGGCTTTGTCGTCCTGTCACCTCCTCTGCACCCTGTTAGGGGAAGGGAGATGGCCAGGGGCTGCTGATTGCATTATCCTCACTGGGGTGGGGGAGCGGGCATTTTAGGGCAAGCAAGAGGACACAGTGCAGGGGGGGAGCTGCCACTTGACTGGATGCTGGTGGCTTATTTTTCCTGTGAAAGTCCATTCTCTTTATAATACTAGGAACCAAGTCAGGCTTGAGGGATGCCAACACCAAAATGTCCCCTGAGTAATTGTCAGTAGCAAAGGGTCTGGGCTTATTCTAATCTAAACCAGTTCTGGGTCTGCCAAAGGGCTCCCATGACAGCATCTTGCACCTAGAACAGTCTCACCAATGGGAAGGTCCAGGTAAAGCTGTCAGAAGCTGCCTGGCCTTGAGGGCAGTCCTCTCTGGGCCACTAGCTCCTCTGGTGACTTGACAGACAGTGTCGGGTGGTCTCCTCACTAGGGACCTGGAGGAGTTCAGGTGCCTTCACAATTTACTAACCTGCATTTCCAATTACCCAGGGCCTGTTTAACACCAACCCCACCCACCCCGTCTGAGAACCACCCTGCAGTCTCTCCCCTCTGTGGCACCCAGAGTTGCTGGGCAGGCAGTTGGTGTGTGGGAGTCCTGTAGATGTGTAGCTTCTAGGGGAGCTGTGGCAGAGCCTAGCGCAGAAGGCCCACACAGCACTTCATATGGCACCAAATGGCAGCAGAGGTCCAGGGAGACAGATGCCTCACAGCCTGAGCAGAAGGGCCTCCCATTTCCTCCCTTTCTGTAACTCTGTCTCCTCTTTGTCATCCAGGTCATACCACCAGTGCTGCCCCTCAGGCCAGCTCCCCACCAGACTACTCGATGGCCTGGGCGGAATACTACAGGCAGCAGGCCGCCATCTACGGGCAGAGTTTAGGGCAGGCTCAGGCCCACAGCCAGGTCTGTAGCCAGTCCCCAGCGCCATGATGCCACCCAGCCTTTGTGCTTGCCTAGTAGTCCCAGGGTGAGCACACAGGCCTGTGGGATTCTCCTCTGTCTCCCTCTGTCCCAGCCTTGTGCTTGCTCAAGTGCTGCCCCTTCTCTAGCCCAACTAAATAAGTGTCGGATTTTCCCTGGGTCTGCAGTGAACTCCAGGGCCTTTGTTTGCACAGCAGTGGTAATAGGTCCACACTCTCCTGGGGCCAGGTGGGTACAGGACCAACTTGATTTCTTTATGTGCACAAGCTTGGAGGACTCTCCAGTCCTCCGCCACCCAGTACTCCCTCGGGACTCCTTTCTGGGGACCTGATGCCAGTCAGGCCTTGTAGGAAGTTGGTGATGGGGCTGGTAACCCAGGAGAAGCCCTCCCCCATGTCCTAATCCTAGACCCCCCGGGGTGCTCAGACTCCAGCAGCAGGTGGCTGGGTGCTGGGCTCGGGGCTGACCCTCTCCCTCCCCCCACAGGAGCAGTAGATGGGCGTCTGCAGCGGCTCTTCCCCGAAATCAGTGTGAGAGAAACCTGTTTGTTACAGAGATTTTTAGATTTGCAGACCTTTCAATGAAGAACCTTTGTTTGTTCTGTGAAACACTATATTTAGATTAACAGAGATTTTCTAAAAATCGGGAAAATTAGTTACTAAACATTGCTGGTAATTTCTGTGTCATGATTTCTTTGTTACTCCAATGTGTAAGCTCTGGGGTTCTGGAGCCAAACCTGCAAGCTCAGGTGCCCGGACCTCCTCAGAGTCCTGACGTTTCATCAGATAATGGGTTTGTTTTTATTGTTGTCTTTTTATTTACAGGTTTTTTTGTTTGTTTGTTTCTGTTTTCTGTTGCAACAGAAAAATGGCTTGGAAGTCTTAGGTGGTAATGTAACAAATTCTTTAAAAAAATTTTAAGCAGTATTTAAATATTCGTAAATGTAAATTCATTAAGTGTTTCACCTCCAATTTCTTGTATCTTGGCTGTCCAGTTTTATTGCGTTTTTTTTTAAACTGAACTATTATGTATTGTAATTAATGATGTGAATTCTGAACTGAGACGGGTCCTTGTTGCGGGAGGGGCGTTTGTGGGTTGTGTCGTTTCTAGCGTTCTGAGGGTAATGCAAAGACAGACACAGTCCACCTTCGTGTAAGCTGCCCATCTCTATTACCCGGTGCAGTTGTGTGTCTAAGACCTCCAAGCTGGTTTTAAAAACAAAAAGCCTTTCTCTATTCTCAGAAATATAAATACTGTTATTTTTAATATTAAAAAGAAATTCAATATAACTTTTAACAAACACTGTGGACATTAAACCATATAAAAATGTAGTAGCTATTTTTTAATTCCAAGGTGTTTTTTTGCTTTTTTCTTTTAAATATTTTCTTAATATTTGTCAAATTAACTAGATAAATAAATAAATCTAGTATTAACCACAGTATGAGTTAAATAATTTTGATTTAATAAAAGGGATAATATGATTTCCAATGTTTACTGTAGTGTATCTTGTACAGATAACATGTATTTTTAAAGAAAAAAAACTGAATTGAAGCTATTTTTTTCTTGCATTTTGAATTGACCCCGAGGAACATTCCGTCTGAAATGTGCTCTAGTTACAGTTTCCAGTTCTCTTGTTTCCTTACCATGCTTGAAATGTCTAACTATTAAAAAAAAAAAAGGCAGTTGGAAATGTTATGCATGTTTGTTTGTTTTTTAAGGTGTTCATTTTATTTGACTGACAATTCATTTTACACTCTATATAATAAAATTTCCACAAGATATCTTGTGGGCAAAGTGTTCTCAGTCTGTTTTGTTTGCTGGCCCCTGGCTCTTGCACTTCCTAGCTGAGGTCACCTTGCCCTGCATGAGCCTGACCTGTTAGTGCACAGCCCCTGGTCACTTCTGAAACAAAACTGGTTTTTTAGGTGTAACTTTACACGAGGCCTTCTGACCTAAGGACCACAGTGAGGACAAGTCTTCCCTGTCAGAGCAGACCAGTCCTGCCTGGGCCTGGGAAGGTATGGTGTCAAGAAACGCCAGTGGGTCTGTGCCCCATCCTAAGCCTCTGACCCTGGTCATGCACTCACCTAAATACACACGGACCCTGCTCCTGTGCACGCCTGTACCTGTGACCCACTCAGCTATGCTGTGCTGGGAGGTGTTTATTCTCTCAGGCTCAGGTGGGACTCTGGTTTGTTAGGACCTGAGATAGCAACAGATGCAGGCATTTGTTCAAGAAAATCTAAGGGGACTATGCACCCCCCAGTACCCTGCAGGCCTGATGACCACAGGACCTGATGGGGCAAAGGCCACTTTGCTGGCTGTTTTCTGTCACCTTTTAGAGGCAACTGGCTTGAAATTGAGTTTCTTGACAGAGAATCTGCTTGGTTCAACCTCCACCTTGTACCCCTGTGCTGTGGGATAGTATAGACAACAGGCCCACTAGTCCTTGCTCAGAACCCTCTTGGTGTGTGTGTGTGGGGGGGGTGCATGCGCACACGCGTACACACCACACAGGAGTGAAAGCCCAAAAGGGGGTGGGGAGAGTGTCCCATCTGGGCCACACTGAGGCCTGTTGAGAGCCGGAAGACAAAAAGGAGATGTGGCATCTTTAACTACACCTCTAGAGAATCGAGTTTGACGTTGAGAAATTGAATAGTGAAAGCCACTCGGGGAGGGGGAGGGCCGGCCAGGAGGGCATCAGCGCTGATGACGGTAATGGGAGTTGGAGAGGGCATTACAGGGAAGACTTCCTTCTAATTCATCTTCCAAGCTCAGTGCCAAAACAGCATTTGGCATGGTTCACAGGGAGCAATTGTGTGATAATGAACCCTAAGGTGTCCCTTAATTGAAGACTGAGCATTGCGGTTTGTGCCAAGAGTCGTAAATGGCGCAGGCTTGCGGGAGGATGCATTTTCTTAAATGTATCGGTAAGTACAGATTAGCGTTTGTCCCCAGTGAAATGCCGTACTATAAATTATGGAAATCTCTCTTTCCCTCTGATGCAGTCCTCTGTTGGGGGGTGGGGTGTGCGGAGCTGCAGGCCGCAGGGGGGAAAGTTTGCAAGCATATGAAATTTGGCCTCTCATTAACATGGCGCCCGCCCTCTGAAGATGGGTTCCATCAGCAGTCTGCTGTCCTGGAAGGCTAAAGTGCTTGAAATGTACCAAGTTCAGCGGTTGTGTTCCATTAAGAAAGCTGCATGGTCATCACCGAGAGCAGAGCCTGTTCTGTCTTCAGAGGACTCACCCCACACCCACACTGGCTCTGCTCACAGACTGGATTCAGCTGGACCCCTGCTGAACTGACCTAGCCCCACCCAAATTGGTACTGGAGTAAGGAGTTCTCCATCCTCCATGGGATCACCTCCTTCCCTGCCCCTGGCCTCTGGAGCAGGAGGCAGTCTTATCCATTAGTGGGCCCTCTCATGTGGGGACCACGCATGTATCTATCCTACAGCCCCACAGGAGCACAGATGGTATACTACAGTGCCCAGACCAAGGGGTACTGCACACCCTGGAGCCCCGGCTCCAGCTGGCTCCTGCACTGCTGTTTCCCTGGCCCTCCAGGGCCCAGCTGGGGTTTAGGATGGGCTAATGTAACTGCTCCTGAAGGACCCGGATTAATGGCCCGAAAGTGGCCTGACAATTCCGCAGGGGGCTGCCGGGCCAGGGTGCGTGCGAGAGGAAGCGGAAGACGTCCCGGATGACTTCAAGCAGTGGTTATCTTGGGCTTTTTTTTATTTTATTTTATTTTTTTTGGTCCTGAACCTTCCTCCAACTTCTCTAAGGGGGTGCTCACCCTCTACACTGGGCCCAGGCCTGCAAGGTAGAGGAGCAGGTGCAGTCACTGCTGTCAGCCGGGTCTTCTGCAGTAGGGCCAAGACTGCCCCTCACAGAGCTGGTAGTCTCTGGACAGTAGCCCAGAGAGGTAGCTGAGGAGCTGAGCAGCAGCCATGGGCAGGTCCAAAGGCACATCAGTCCTTTGCACTCACATCACTAAGGTGTATTTGGGACCCCAAAGCAATACCTTTGCAGTCATTCGTGGACCAAAGTCAGTGGTACTGTTCTGCACCATCCTTGCTCAGTGCAGTCAGACAGTATTGTGTGGCCTTCTTAAATTCCTATTTGGGAGGGAAGGGGATTTGAGACTGCTTATGTAACTCTGGCTGTCCTGAAACTGGCCTCTACCTGCCTCTGCCTCCCAAGTGCTGGGACTAAAGGTATGTGCCACCATGCCTGACTTGGGGTGGTCGTTGGACAAGTGTGTGAGCCCCACTTGGCCACATTCTCTGTGTGTGTGTGTGTGTGTGTGTGCATTCTTTTTGCTGTTAAACCCCAAGCAGGATAACTCTGAGCACAGGAAGCCGAGGTGGGCCTTTAGACAATAGGTGTGAACACCAGGCTGTGTGCAGGCCTGAGTTAGTGCTGTGGCCATGAGGTGGATGGATGTTGGTGGATCAAAACTGATACACACGTGCGCCTATAACATAGACCCATCTATAAGCACATAAACAGAAACAACCTGATATGCACACATAACTACACAAACAGATGTGCAAGCACTAAGTGTAGGAACATGCTTGAAGCATGCTGTGCACTGACTGTTCTACAATGGCTCCTTAGAAGCCAAGCTGTGTCTCACCACTGTGGCATGCACATGGTTTAACCCGGCTGAAACCCAAGTGGTAGTGTGACCACCAGCAGCAGCCTGAGAGGAATGAATGCTACTGGGCCAGGAGAGGACATGCTCTTCTCCACGGTGGAGCATGGGGCTCCTGTTATCTCTTCCAGGGGACCTGTTAGCCAAACCCCTGTACTCCCCAGGTGCTCTAACCTAGATACAGGGTCTATGCAAAACCAGTAATCCTACCTCACTTAGCAGAAAGTTCCATATTTACCAGTAGGAGGCTCCAGTGCATGATTCCCTTTGAGGAGAGCTTGTCATGGTATGCAAGGGGCAGAACCAGGGCTCAGCCATCAGAGCATTGCCGACCATTTGATGCAGCCAGAAAAGAGCCTGTGGGTGAGGGAAGCCTAAGGTGGTTCTGGAGGGGCCTAGCAGGTCAGTCCACCTGAAGCAGCAGGATGCAGGGTGTGAATGAGTGGGCTTACTTGGCTTGGAACCCTGCCTCACTCCTTGTGAGGGTCATCTTCGTTGTCATCATAACTTGAGTTTGGAAACACACCTCTGGGCACGTGTGGGAGAGGGCATTTCCAGAGAGGTTTACTTGCAGTGGGAAGACCCATTCTGAATGTGGGTGGCACCATGTTACAGGCTGCGGGCCCAGACTGAAAGAAAAGGAGACCGCAAGCTGCATATCAGCACGAAGTACAGAAGTGGTGTGACCAGCTGCCTCGTGCTCCGGCGTCCACACCCTCCCCACCATGATGGACTGTCCCCTTCAGACTGTGAGCCACAATAAGCCTTTCCTTCCCTAAGTCACTCTGTCAGGTATTGTGTCACACACAGCAAGGGCCTCAGTGTGACCACCCTGCTGCCCCTCCTTCCACCTTGGCCCCTCTCAGAGCAGGTGGCAATAACCACCCCTCCCCACCCGGCTCATGAGGTGACATAAACCATGGGAAGTGGCAGCTGTCAGTAAGGAATAAGTAATGACTTCTGACCACCATGGTGGGCGTCCTGTTAGAACAGAAGGAGCAAATCTGAACACAGCACTCAGCTATCCCCATCCCAGCAGCCGGACCCCCATCCCAGCTGCCAGTGCCCCATGAGCAGCCAGTGCTCTGTCCCAGCAACCAGACCCCGTCCCAGCAGCCAGACCCCATCCCTGCATCTGGACCCCCATCCCAGCAGCCAGCCCCTGGGAGAGACCAGCCAGGACAAGAGGGAACTCTGCAAACAGTCACATCCACTCTCATAATAAAGTGGGTGACAACGGAAAGGGCTGTGTGCTCAGGACAGCTAGGTCATTTGGGGCTGGTTTTGTTTTTTTGGTTTGGGTTTGGGGTTTTGGTTGGTTGGTTGGTTGGTTGGTTGGTTGGTTGGTTGGTTGGTTTTTGTAGCTGTTTGGTTTGTGATTTGGGGTTGTTTTAGAGACAGTGTCTCAGGTAGCTCAGGCTGGCCTCAATCTCCTTCTGTAGTTGAGGATGACCTTGAACTCTAGGTCCTCCTGCCTCCACCTCCCCACATTAGGACTACTGGCGTGTACCACCACATTCAGGTTTTAGATACATGTTTTAAAGATTCCTCCCTAGCCTGCCTCCTTTTCAGTCATGAAGAGGGCCTGAGTTCTGTCCCCACTTCAGTGGAGATGTGCCCTGTGATGGGAGGAGGTCAAACCTGTTCACTGTGGTTCCCTTTCTCAGATCTGGGTCACACTCGTGATCCAGAGCTCATTTGGCACCGTGAGGGATCTAAAGAGGCATAGGTGTTTGGCTTAGTTGTGAGCTGTGAGCTTTTGTTGTTTATATGTGGGACAGCGATGTGCACAGGCACACACATTGTATGTGTCCGCACATGCGTGTTTGTGTGTGTGTGAAGACAGACACTTGGGATATCTTCCTCAGTTGCTTTCCACCTCTTTGTATGTGCGCACACGTGTGTGCATGCATGCATGTTTGTGTGTGTAAAGACAGACCCTTGAGGTGTCTTTCTCCGTTGCTCTCCACTTCTTTGGGTTTTGTTTTTTTTTTCTTTTTTCTTTTGTTTTGTTTTGCTTTTGTTTTGTTTTTTGAGACAAGGTTTCTCTGTCGCTTTGGAGCCTGTCCTGGAACTAGCTCTTGTAGACCAGGCTGGCCTCGAACTCACAGAGATCCACCTGCCTCGGCCTCCCGA